TTTCCGTGGAGTTTTAAGTAAATTATAAGAAAAACTCGCTAATAGTATGATTTTAACAGATTAGAACATACAAATTCACTAATCTCCATCTTTATATTTTTTATACACAATTCTACTATTAAGACTAGTCAAATAAAGCTAATTATTATAATTATATATATAAGAAGTATATATGTACCAAAAATTATAACTTGAAATTTATTACTTTAATTTATATTAAGTTGTTATATTTACAACTATAAAAATTATAGTTATTATAAGTATTAGTATTAAAACAATTGTTATTATAATAAAAACATACAGATTAAAGTGCGTATATGTTTTTTAGTAATAGTAGGACTAATTGGTTACTATAGCAATGAAAAAGACACACAAAAAAAATTATGACAACACTTTCTTCTCTTCTCTTCTTTCTCCATCATTTCTTCTTTTTTTGATCCCTCTTAACTTCTGTAACCTCTGAGGTTACACACATGACTTTAGTTAAGTATATAAAGGGCTATTTGTAGACACTTAGAGATTATCTTTGTACTTGCTCCTGTACTTAGGTTGACCTCTCCAATCCCAGGTCTTTGCCTGTTCTGTGTTCTTGAGTGAGGCTCTAGCCTTTACACTTTTTTTGAACATTGCAAAATTTGGGGATTACCTCTCATCCACTGCCTTTCACTTGTGCCACCAGATTGTCAGCCTCCCCCCAGCTTCCCCCCACACATCCACTATCTACTACACATCTACAGTACTCTACAGTAAGACCCTAGTTAATTACAAGCATTACAGATACTATGTGGATATCCTGTTCTCTCTCAAGGGCTTATAGGGAGATTGTTACCACCTGCTGGCCAACCTTTGATCTCCCAACAGACCCTCATCAGAGGTCCTAGGCTTCTGGGAGAATGCACTATGAAGATTGCATATAGTTGTGCTAGAGTAGGGTGTGTTACACATCATTGTGAGTCTAGTCAGCTGTCTACAATTAAGGTTCTGCCACCTGAGAATATGCTTCACTGTACCACTTCAAGCAGATTATCTACAGACTTGCTCTTGCTCATAACCTTTCTGCCACTTGTCACAATCTCAAGCTGGTGTCTAGAAACAAGCTGTAAAAGCCCCTACTATCCTATTCCTGAAATTGTTTAAGGAGAATACTATCTTGGTACTGTAACTGAGATTAGGAGCTACTATACAATTACTCTACTAGAACACTGTTAAGAAACAAGCTACAGAAGGACCCACTGTCCTAGTCCTGAAATTGTGTAAGGAAGTACTATCTTAATACTACTACTAATATCTGGAACTGTAGCATAATTCTCTTTAGGAGCTACAAATTCTATACTGACAGATACTGTCTACTTTTAGTACAACAGACATTACAATCAAGCTGTTAACTACAGTGTATTTGTTGTATGCTTGTTGTACCTACTATAATGTGTATTTCTCTATTGTCAAGGTGTTTGTCAAGACTGTCTATTCCTTACTATACTATCTCTTACTCTGTCACTGTCTAGTGTCTACTGTTATTGTCTACTGTCTACTAAGGGTATAAAGTCCCTTTCCCTTCCCTTCCTGTTTCCTAGAGTATAAAGCCCCTTTTCCAGTTGTGGACCTAGTCAGAGTACTAAGCCCTTACTAGTGTCAATTCCAGTCCTAGACATATAGGGCCTCTACTAGTGTTACCTCCTGTTTCCTAGAGTATAAAGTCCCTTTTCTAGTTATGAACCTAGTCAGGGTACTAAGCCTCTACTAGTGTCAATCCTAGTCCTGAATGTCTAGAGCCTCTATTAGTATCACCTCTAGTCCTAAACCTAGCCAGGGTATTAAGCCCCTACTAGTGTCATTCCTAGTTACAGACCTAGTTAGAGATTATACTCTACTAGTATTATCTAGTCCTTTCCTGTCCTGTCCTGTCCTGTCCTGTCCTGTCCTGTCCTGTTCTGTCCCCCTTTGTCCTTCTAGTATGAACAGACCCTCTGTTACCTCTACATACTCTGTTTTACCTACACACTACCTGTACTCTTATCACTCTCAGAATTAGTGTGTTAATTTTGTCAACCTGGTCCTTCTACTCCTCCTAGTACTAATACATGCCTGAGACTGTTCACTTCTCAACTATGTGTTTCAATCATTTTTTTTCTCTCTCAAGTAACAAGTGCTAGCATATCTGAAGAGTTGTTGAGTTCTCTTTATTATACACTCTAACTTTCACACTCCCTTTTACTCACACTACCAAACAACTCTTATCACCTCTGACACTCAGCCTACTGTTAGTCAAACAAGACCTTCTCAGTTGTCTTCTCCTTATCTATAGTAACACTGTGCTCACTAGCCCTGTTAGGTATCATTCACATGTTTCTTACAGTACTGTTTAATGTCTTAACTATGTGTTTTAGTCAATGTCTCAGTTATCTTCTCCTTATCTACTATAACACTGTACTTACTACTTACTAGACCTGTTGAGTATTATTCACACATTCCTGACAGTATGGTTTCATGTCTCAACCATTATATACTCCTTGTCCCTGTCCTTATCTCTGTACATTTTCATTAATGAGTCAAAGCCTTCCTAGACTAGTTACTATGTGTTCCTCTTTAACAGCTTACTTCAACTTGTATCTGTCTCAGGGATACCATTTCTACTGACTCTGTTGAAAGTCCTTGTCCCTATACATTTTCATTAACAAGTTGAAGCCTTTCTAGACTGGTTACTATGTGTTCCCTCTTACTATACTTCCCTTGCCTCTTCATTAATCCTTCCCTACCTTTTGACAAGTTGAAGCCTTCTTAAACTTGTGACTGTGTGTTCCTTATTGTCTGTCCTTACACTTTTGTATTTCACCTCCCCCCCCCTTTACTATATCCTTTCCTTTGTCTCTCTATTAATTACTTCCCTACCCCCCCCCCCTTTTTATTTCTTCAGAGTAGGGAAGAGTGTAACCTCTAAGGTTACACACATGACTTTAGTTAAATATATAAAGGGCTATTTGTAGACACTTAGAGATTATCTTTGTACTTGCTCCTATACTTAGGTCAACCTCTCTAATCCTAGGTCTTTACCTGTTCTGTATTCTTGAGTGAGGCTCTAGCCTTTACAACTTCTTTACTTTTTCCTTCTTATAGCTAGAAGATCTAGTCAATTGTCTTCTATAAATAAGGGCAAAGCCCTTTCAGAGAAAGAAGATAGGCTTAAATAAGCTATTTCAGCTATTTTGAATTCTAAAACTTATTCAAATTCTACAAAACCTACTTTATCTATTCTTACTGCTTCTAAACAATTCAGTGTCTCAAGTACAACTCTTAAAAGAAGGCTTGAAGGTATTAGAAATAGATCCTCAGCCTTTTCTCATCTTCAGATTTTATTACTATCTTAAGAGAAAATCCTTAAAGATTGGATTAAAGCTCTTAGAAGAAGATCTATTCCTTTATCTAAAAATCTTGTTCAACAAAAAGTAGAGTTAATTTCTCAGAAAAAGGTTGGACAGACATGGTATAGAAAGTTTTTGTCTAGAAATCCTGATCTTAAACTTCTTTAAACATTTCCTCTTGAATCTTCTAGAGCTAAAGCTTTAAATTCTTTTACTGTCAAAAGTTTTTTTGATTTACTATTTGAAACTCTTACCTCTTATCACATTTCACCTTCTAATATTTATAATATGGATGAAAAGGGTATTCAGATGGGATTAGCTGGAAAATCAAGGGTTTTGGTGGATAGAGATCAGAAAACTGTCTCTCAGATAGAGGATGGAAACAAAGAGTTGGTTACTATTGTTGAATGTATTTGTACAGATAGTACTGTTCTTAAGCCTCTTGTTATTATGAAAGGGGCTAGAACAAGTCTATCATGAGGAATAAATAATCCTATTCATGCACAGTAAGTTTTCCTTTACTAATACTCTTAATTTATAATACTAATATATTCTCTAGTATTGCTTCTTCTCAGAAAGGATGGACTGACTCAGAGCTTGGATCTCTATGGCTTGAAAGGGTTTTTCATCCTGAAAGTCTAAAGAAATTAGAGTCTCCAGATGAATACAGATTGTTGATTCTGGATGAACATAATTCTCATTACTCTTTGAGGTTTCTTGGAATGGCTGAAAAGTATCATATTATTGTTCTTTGCCTTCCTCCTTATACTACTCATATGCTTCAACCATGTGATGTAAGAGTCTTTAGTCCTTTATCCACCTTTTATAAAAAGGAAGTAGTAGAATTGGCAAGACAAAATGTGTCAATTGACAAGTATAATGTTATTAAAACATATACTAATGCTAGAGAGAAAGCTTTTACTCCTAGTACTGTCAAAGCTGCTTTCCTTAAATGTGGAATTCATCCTTTCAATCCTGATACAATCCCTCCTTCTGCCTTTGAACCAGCCTTAGTAACAACTACTCAAGCAGCTCAGCCTGTTTGTACATCTGCACCACAATTTGTTAATGCAATTCCTATTCAAACTGGTAAGAAACTACTTTATTTTATTAGTTCTAATACTAATTTACATATTAATCATGTTTTTGATGAAGTCGAATCAGAAGGGTCTATTCGTTTTACTATGGACTTGCCAGACATGCTACCCCTACCAAAACCCTCAGCTTCTAAGAATGACCTCTTTGAGCATATTCATGTACTAAGAGGTCTTCTTCAACAATGCAAAGATCAAATAGGGGCAGACTATGGTCAAAAGATTCTAATGGATGGAGAGAATGGTCATCTACGTCAACAGTTGCACCAAAAAGAAAAAGACAAGGATAGGACAAGAGTACTTACAGTTAAATCCAGACTGCTCACCAACCAATTTCTCCTCACTCACAAACACATCTATGCTCACCAACAACATTTTGGTGAAGTCTACAAAGAGCTTGTTATAAAGGCATGCGAATTCAGGAAAAGGGCAGATGAAAGGGAAAAGAGGCAACAAAGAGAGGAGAAGGAAAGGGAGAAGGAAAGGGAGAAAGAAAAAAAGCAACAAGAGAGAGAGAGAGAGAGGGAGGAGAGGGAAAGGGAAAGGGAGAGGAGAGAAAGGGAGAGGGAGAGAGAGAGAGAAGAGAAGAAGAGGGAGAGGGAGAGGGAGAGGGAGGAGAGGGAGAGGGAGAAGGAAAGGGAGAAGGAAGAGAAGAGGAGGGAGAGAGAAAGAGAGAAGGCACGGCGAGCAGCAGAAATGGACCTGAAGAAGAAAAAGAAATCTGAAGAAAGGACTGCAACGAGTACAGCTGACTTACCAAGGAAGCAACCGAGACCAAGGCCAGCCTACCGCACTCCCAACTCAGCCATTAATTCGGAGAGCGAGAAGGAGAATGTGCACACCAGTAACTACCCACCACCCCTTCCTCAGACATGGGATTTTGTTGTCCAAACAGACCCACGCAGTGTCTTGGCCGACGTCCATCATCAACATCAATCCATCTCTCAGGAACAGTCGAACGAGGAGTCAGCGAGTAGCGGAACTGCGACGGCAGAAGGAGTGCAAGATTGCAGCGAAGGAGGATGAGCTCAATCGACATTGACGCAAGATGACGGAACGCTTGCGACTGCGTGAAGAGAGAGAGATCGCCGAGCAAACTTGACAACCCAAGTATTAGAAGGAGAAGGATAGCAGACTAGAGGAACAGCAGCGAATTCTGGAAGCACAGGAGGAGGAGAGCAAGAGGCAGACAGTACAACATAGGCAAGAGACTCCAAGTCATCACGACAAGCCTATTCCTGTAAAAAGAAACATAAAATCGATTAATAAATAGAATGTACATAATTAAGTAATGAACTCATCTTGATTTCTATCCAGACGAATGTAAATTGGTCTGGATAGGATTGAAGTTATTAGTTAAGTCTGTATGCGTGTGCAGATCTGTCTAAGTCTCCCTTCCCACGGGGTGTCCACATGTGGGTCAGACGCGTCAAAGCACACTTTTTAACTTGTCATTTTGTAAAATCAATAAAATATTTATTTATTAATATTTTACAAAAATAAAACCAACATTTTTTAGCTAAGATGTTTTAATATATAATTACAAATTTTTTGTGTTATAAAACAGCTGTAGTAAATAATAATATGAGGAATGCTCTTAAATTGACCACATGGGGCACTGCAACAGTAAGTAAAAACCAACACACACGTGATCACTTTAGTTGGTGGGAAAATGGACTTGTTGATTTTCTGACGTTTATCTTGCTAGGCGGAAAAAACTTCCAAGTATTTAAGAAATCAAGAACAATATTAGTAGCTATGATAATTTCCACTTACTTGTAGTGACTTCTAATGTTATTGGAATACTTGGTAATCTTGTATTTGTTTTGTAA